GAGCTAGATATGGCTGAACCGATTTCAAAAAAAAATTCGCATACATCTATCAGGGCCTAATTCAATACTCTGTGCAAAATTTTGTCTCAATCGGACAAATGTGGGCAGTATTGTGCTCCATTTACATAAAATCGGACGAAACTATATATGGAAGCTATATCGAAATCTGAACCGATTTTAACAAAACTTGGCATATATCAATCTAAACCTAAACCTACGCTGTGTAAATTTGTCTCAATCGGAAAAACATCGGAAGTTTGGCGCACAATTTACCTAATATCGGACATATAACTCTGAACCGATTTCAACAAAACTTGGCATGTATCAATCTAGACCTAATTCAGTACTCTGTGCAAAATCTTGGCTCAATCGGACAAGTTTTTGGGAGTTTGGTGGACCAAGTTAAACCTAAATCTGAACCGATTTCAACAAAACTGCATGCACATAAAGCTGGACCTAGTTCAGTACGCTGTGCAAAATCATGTCTCAATCGGGCAAATTTTTGCGAATGTGGTGCACAATTTACCTAAAATCGGGCGAAACTATATGTGGGAGATATATTTAAATCTAAACCGATTTCCACAAAACTTCTCATATCAGGACCTAATTCAGTACGCTGTGCAAAATTTCGTTTCAATCGGAAAAATATTGGAAGTTTGGTGGACCATTTGCCTTAAATCGGACGAAAATATATATTGGGAGCTATATCTAAATCTGAACCGATTTTCGCAAAACTCCGCAGACATCAATCTGGACCTAATTCCGTACTTTGTGCAAAATTTTTTCTCAGCCGGACCAATATTTGCAGTATGGTTCTCAATTTACCTAAATTCGGACAAAACTATATATGGGAGCTATATCTAAATCTGAACCAATTTTCTCGAAACTTGGCTTACCTCATTCTAGTCTCAATTCAGTACAACATTTGGTGCAAATCGAAAGATACACAGGGACTTTGGTGCCACATTTACCTGAAATTGGACGAAAATATATATGAGAGCTATATCTAAATCTGAACCGATTTTCATGAAATTTAACACACATCTTTCTGGACCTAATGCAGTACTCTATGCCAAATTTCGTGCAAATCGAAAGATATACAGGGACTTTGGTGCCCCATTTACCTTAAATCGGACGAAAATATATACGGGAGCTACATCTAAATCTGGACCGATTATCACGAAATTTAGCACTTAATTCAGTACGCTATGCCAAATTTTTTGCAAACCAAACGGTATATAGGGACTTTAGGACACCATTTACATAAAATCGGACGAAAATATATATGGGAGATATAGCGAAATCTGAACATATTTTCCCGAAACTCACCACACATCATTCTAGACTCAATTCAGTACGCTATGCCAAATTTCGTGCAAATCGAACGGTATATAGGGACTTTGGGACACCATTTACATAAAATCGGACGAATATATATATATGGGAGCTATATTAAATCTGAACCGATTTTCACGAAACGTAATACACATCGTTCTAGATTTAATTCAGTACGTTATGCCAAATTTCGTGCAAATGGAAGGTTATACAGGGACTTTGCTGCACTCTGTACCTAAAATCGGACGAATATATATATATGGGAGCTATATCTAAATCTGAACCGATTTTCACGAAACTTAGCACACACCTATCTAAACTGAATTCAGTACACTGTGTTAAATTTCATTCAAATCGAAAGATATATAGGGACTTTGGTGCACCATCTAACTTAAATCGGATGAAAATATATATGGGAGCTATAACTAAATCTGAACCGATTTTCTAGAATTTCAATAGTGTTCGTCCTTGGGCCAAATAATGACTTGTGCCAAATTTCATCAAAATGGGATCATAATTTCGACCTGTACTTTGTTTACAATGTAACATCTACAGGAGGACAGACTGACGGACATGCATCGATCGGCTAGGAAATTGATTCTATGCATGAAGCTATCTCGTATCCTTTTGCCTGTTATAAAAAATATTTGTTGCAGACCCTTTTGTGTTTTCTTAATGATCTCCTAACATTGGTTCTTCTTCCTTCTTCTTTGGCCTCTCATCAAATGACTGATTTCCTTTTAATGGAAATTATTATCAGCTTTTGTATATGGAAAATAAAAATGCTGTAAATTTGTCGCCAAATGTAATGGGGAATTCATCGGAACTTCTATTGTTGCAAGAGAGAAAAGGCAGCTTAAAACTCTGAATCGGGTCATTAGCTGTTACCATTGTTGTTGTCGCTTTTGTTGTGTTTATTTTATTCTTCTCCAATAAAGGTTTTAGTTCCATTTCGACCATTTAGTGAAAGTCCATGACAACGATGACCCATTAAAAGAAATAAAATTAAATTGCTAGGCGCTGCCTTAAATCCGCTGCAGAGTTGGAAGTTTATTTAAACGAATCGATTTGTAAATACGATTTTATTTTTCAATATGGTTATCGATTTTAGTTTTCTTCTCTTTGCTCTCCTTAAATGGCTTTGCTTTCCTTTACGAAAGCAAAATGAAAAATAAAAATGGAAAAACAGCAGATTGAACGCTTCATTGTTTTCAAATGTATCTTTCTCGATGGATCGTCATTAATGTTGTTTTTCAATGTTCTCTGTGGAGGTGAAAGGGTCGCAGGGGTAGGACCGGGCTAGTCAGCCAGCCAGCTGTTGATTGTCTGCTTCTGTCAACAGTTATAACATGTTGCTCATCGTAACAATATTGCTATAAACTTGGTTTGCAATCCTTTTTCCAATATCTGTGGCACAATAACCCCCAACCTACCACACGCTCCTTCCCAACCCTCATAAAACTTTAGCCAACCATAACTGCAAGACAGAAAACTTTTTAATCTAAAATAGTGAAAACAATAAAGAAGATGAAGAAGAAAACTGCAATGTTGATGGCCACAACAACAGCAGTAACAAGGATAACAACAAATAGTTTCCATTAACTTAGCAACAAAAAATGGGTGTTACTTTTTACTTGGAACCAACAGAGCAGCACAACAATGACGACCAAGTATCCACATGATATTATGACAATTTCAGTTTGTTTTAGATACGGATTACTTTTATGTTTAAGGCAAGGAGGATGGAGGTAGGATTGCATCCGATACCAGGGTGAAACTTTAGAAAATTAAATCGATAGTTTAAACGGGGGGTTTCAATACCTTCAAATAGGCGTGGACTTAAAACAAGTAAGGAAAGTCGAACGGGTTCGACTTGTAATAAAGTCGGATGGGCCGACAATATGATACCCTTCACCTCTATGGGTATATTCAACAGATGAGTCCTAACAGACGTCGCATTTTTGAAGGACCATTAACATGAAATTGGATCCATAAACATGTCATTCTGCAACCTATACTAAATTTTTCATTTAGTCAGATAGAGAGTTGTTTCATACAATGGTACAAAAATTATGTAAATCAATTTTAAGCAAATATTATTCGGATACCCATTGATTATTTGGATAAATATCTGATAAACATGGGAAATTTGGTGCACCATTTAGCTAAAATCTGAAGAAAATCTATCAATCTAGACCTAATTCAGTACGATATGCCAAATTTCGTGCAACACGAATGATATATAGGGACATTGGTGCAACATTTATATTAAATCGGAAGAAAATATATATGGGACCTATATCTAAATCTTAACCGATTTTCAGGATATATCTATATCTAAATCTGAACCGATTTTCACGAAACTTAGCACACGTCATTCTAGACCTAATTCCGTAAACTATATCAAAATTCGTGCAAATCTAAAGATGTATAGGGACTTTTGTATACCATATACATTAAATCGGGCGAACATATATATGGGAGCTATATCAAAATCTGAACCGATTTTCACGAAACTTAACACACATCATTCTAGACTTCATTCAGTACGTTATGCCAAATTTCGTGCAAATCAAATGATTTTCAGGGACTTTGGTGCACAATTTACCTAAAATCGGGCGAAACTATATATGGGAGCTATATGTAAATCTGAACCGATTTTCACGAAACTTACCACACATCATTCTAGACCTAATTCAGTAGGCTATACCAAATTTGGTGCAAATCGAAAGATATATAGGGACTTTGGTACACCATTTACCTTAAATCGGGCGAAACTATATATGGGAGCTATATCTAAATCTGAACCGATTCTCACGAAACTTAGCCCACGTCATTCTGTACTTAATTCTGTACTATGTCAAATTTCGTACAAATCGACAGATATATAGGGACTTTGGTACGCCATTTGCCTTAAATCGGGCGAAACTATATATAGGAACTATATCTAAATCTGAACCGATTTTAACGAAACTTAGAACACATCATGCTAGACCTAATTCAGTGGGCTATACCAAATTTCGTGCAAATCGAAAAATATATAAAGACTTTGGTTCCCCATTTACCTTAAATCGGACGAAAATATGTATGGGAGCTATATCTAAATCTGAACCGATTTTTCCCAATTTCAATAGGGTTCGTCCTTGGGCCAAACAAATGAGCTGTGCCAAATTTCATCCAATTCGGATCATTAATGCGACCTGTACTTTGTTTACAATTTAACATGGATAAAGACATAATACCCTGTACCACAGTGTGGTGAAGGGTATAAAAAGTTTTCTAAGCCTACTTCAAGGCGTGAACTTTTTAATTTTTTTCTATAGGCCTACAAATAGGCGTGGATTTTTTAAAAATATTTTTCTAAGGCCTAACAATTAGTGGTAAATGTTTTTAATATGTTTCTAGTGTCTAATTACAGGCGTGGATGCTTGATTTTTTTAATATTTTTCTAGGACCTACAAATAGCCATGGATTTTCTGAAAATATTTTTCTAAAGCCATCAAATCCTGACTTATGGATTTTGAAGTCATCACATAATTCATGTACCACTTCTTATGAAATAAATAACATATCGAATTACGTCTTTAAGCAGACTTCGTATAAAACGACAAAATAAATCGCCATATATTTTTTATTTTCTATATTCAATATTAGAAACAACCTGTTTATTCGGATTTTGCTCTAATGAGCATTTCAGCATTTTTAAATGAATAATAAGCATTCTTCCAATGCCACCAGTGAATGCCACTTCGATATGGTCCAAATAGATGACTACAAAGAAAGTTACGAAAATAAATTAAAAAAAAAAAAAAAAACAAAAAAATAATATTTGGTGGCAAATGTTTGTCATACCTGAAATAACATGCACCAAACCACCAAGCCCCGTTCGCTGACTGGGCACAATTCGTAATATCAATATCATTCTCTTCATCAAAGGTAGAAAACTTTCTACCTTTGTGATATTCCAAAGAATCTCCAGCAGTGCCCCTATATTTGCCTAGTACCTTCATTTCATATTGCTCTGCTTCATTTCCAATACGAAACCCATCGTAGAGAGCATAACGTTCTTCACCATTCCAATCTCTTAAAATCACTTTAAGTTCTATGTTTGGAACAGCTGTTGTCAATTCATGCAGTTTGTCCAGACCAATGAAGAATTCGCCATGAGGTGGATTACCGAAACCCACTTTATAACCTCTCCAGTTCCTGTAAAAATTTACAGAGCCGTCTATTCGTCTAAGGATTGTTGTCCAATGTTGTAAAGTTTTAAGGTTTTCCCTGGAATAAATATTGAAAATTTTAGCAATAAAGTCATAACTCTGGTGACCCTTTAACCACTTTAAGGGACATTGGTGTCTACAAAAAGTTGTATACATACTCATCCCTCAAGGTGACATTCATCGGTGATATTTGCTTCAGTATTTTTTCCACATTCTTTTTTTGTTCCTCTTGCCTGGAAATGAAAAAACCACCAAACGTTATTAATATGCTAAATATTCAAATAAAATTTTGATTTTGAAAGTTAGAACCATTTCATGGATTGGATTCTTATCCGTGAAATTATTTAGGTATCGAGAGTGGTTCTATCTCACGAACACCCTTGGAGTCCTAAGAAAATTTTATCGTGGCCTGAGTACACTACCTTTTGGTCAAACCATCAATTCTGAAATAAAAAGAAAAAAATAGAATAAAATTATTATTTTTTTTAATTTGCTTCATTTTTTAATTCGAATCCATATACTAACTTCTGATTCACATCCACAAGATTGTTGTTTAGTTTATTTATTTCTCTATTCATGTTTGTAATTTCACTGCTCATTTTATCCGCTTCACCATTTATTTTCTTTGTCTCTGCCAATAGGGTATTCACTTTTTGAAATAAATTCTTCCACAGCATTAAGAGAAATTCATCTTCATCGGGATTCTAAAATTTTCATTGTAAAAATAAATTATTTTCAATATTTATAGTTTGAGATTCTAGAATTTACAGAATATTTTGCAGTGGTAGTTGTGTCGTTATCGGAGGTGGTAGTGTTGTCATCGTCAGGTGTGGTTGAGTAGCGTCCTGATTCTGTGCACGTACTTTGACCTGTGATTTCGTTTACCGTGTATTCCATTGTTTGGGATTTTCTTTCTATGGTGTCGTTATTGGAGATGATAGTGGTGTAATCGTCAGGTGTGGTACTGGCTGTTGAGGCAACGATATTGTCATCTGCCTTATTGCCGATTATTATTTTTAATATTATTAATATGAATAAAACAATTCCTTTCATTTTTATTATGCTGTCACTATCGAGGTTCTGGTGCAAACTGATGAGTAGTGATAATGCGAACATTGCTTGTTGGCTTGTGGTAGGCTTATCAAAAAAATTGTTCGCAAAAATAAACACATCCCAAATATTGCTTTTTCCTGTCTTCCTCAAAACAATACTTGATAAGAGATGGATATGGTGGTGGTCGATATAGCGAACAAGATGTTTTTTTGTTTACATGCTGTATCTATAAGTGGTGTATGTATTTTAAAATTTTGGATTTCATTTTTATACCCTTCACCACACTGTGCTACATGGTATTATGTCATTGTGCCTATGTTTGTAACCGGCAAAAGGAAACGAGATAGACACATGGTTCCTTTTGAGAAAATGCATAGAATCACTTTCTGAGTCGATTTATGCGTGTCCGTCAGTCCGTCCGTCTGTCCGTCCATGTATTTTTGTTAACAAAGTACAAGTCCATTTGCACGAAATTTGACACAGCGTACTGAATTAGGTCTAGAATGACATGTTTTAAGTTTTCTGAAAATCGGTCCAGATTTAGATATAGCTCCCATATATACTTTCGTCCGATTTAAGGTAAATGGTGCACCAATGTCCCTATATATCTTCCGATTTGCACGAAATTTCACACAGCGTACTGAATTAGGTCTAGAATGATGTGTGTTAAGTTTCCTGAAAATCGGTTCAAATTAAGATATAGCTGCCATATATAGTTTCGTCCGATTTAATGTAAACGGTCCCTATATATCCTTCGATTTGCACGAAATTTGGCACAGCGTACTGAATAAAGTCTAGAATGATGTGCGTTGAATTTCGTGAAAATCGGTTGAGATTTAGATATTGCTCCCATATATAGTTTCGTCCGATTTAAGCTAAATGGTACACCAAAGTCCCTATATATCCTTCGATTTGCACGAAATTTGGCACAGCGTACTAAATTAGATCTAGAATGATGTGTGTTAAGTTTCCTGAAAATCGGTTCAAATTAAGATATAGCTGCCATATATAGTTTCGTCCGATTTAATGTAAACGGTCCCTATATATCCTTCGATTTGCACGAAATTTGGCATAGCGAATTGAATTGAGTCTAGAATGATGAGTGGTGAGTTTTGGACAATTCGTTCATATTTAGATATAGCTCCCATATATATTTTCGTCCGGTCTAAGAAAAATGGTGCACCAAAGTACCTATATACGTAAGGTAAATGGTACACCAAAGTCCCTATATATCTTTCGATTTCCACGACATTTGGCATGGTGTACTGAATAAAGTCTAAAAAGATCTTTGGTAAGTTTCCGAAAAATCGGTTCAGATATCGATATAGCTCCCACATATACATATATATATATATATATATATATATTTGTCCGATTTTACCTATACCCAAAGTGGTGAAGGGTATCATATAGTCGGCCCAGCCCGACTTTGCTACTTCCCTTACTGGTTTTAAAATATTTTTTCATGAAGTCACAATAGGGGTGGATAAAAAATATATTTTTAATGAAGCCCCAATAAGCGTGGAATGTTTTCATTGTTGCCCATGTCCGACTTAGTGTTCTTTTTTTTCAAAAAAATAAAATCTTTTTTCAACTTCCGCTATTTGCTGTTAGCTTCGACAAAAGCCGACATCCCCTTAAAAAATAATTATATTTCATTAACAAGTCAATGAACTGTTGTTTCGAAATTTTTCTCTACCACTTCTTTTGTTAAAGTAATGAAAAACCAGTATCGTATAAAAAGAATAAGATAAAGCCATACATTATTGTTGTTGTTGTGATAAGATAAGAAACAATAAATAAATTCTCAGTCAAACCAACTTGTACAACATACAAATATTTTTATAAAATATTAAGAACTCATTCAAATAATCATCGCCCTTACAGACAAAATTCAAATAAAACCAGTAAGGAAAGTAGTAAAGTCGGACGGGGCCGACTATATGATACCCTTCACCACTATGGGTATATTAACCAGGACTATTAACATGAAATTGGTTGAAATAAAATATGTGATATTTATCTAAATGTGAATCTTCCTAGATATATTCATAAAGTATGTAAATCGACTTCAAACAAATATAAACATTTCATCCGTTGGGCTATGTCTGTACTTCTAGAAAACGCAAATACGTAATTCCATGCTCAATTTTGTAAGTTGTGCAAAAATGTATGTCAATCTGACTACATGAGGAGTTTGATGCCCAATTTACTTGAAATCTGGCGAAAATATATATGGAAGCTCTATCCAAATATTAAGCGATTTCAAACAAACTTGTCACAGGTTAGGTTATAGTAATTTCAGAACGTTTTGTTCCTATCAAGCTATTGGTTCCTTGGTGCGTCAATTACTTAAAATCAATCTATAATAAAATAGAGCTATATCTATATCTGGACCGATTTTCACGAAACAAGGCAGACATCACTCTAGGCTCAATTCAGTACGTTATGCCAAATTTCGTGCAAATCGAAAGATATATTGCGACTTTGGGGCACCATTTACATGAAATCGGACGAAACTATATATGGGAGCTATATAGAAATCTAGACCGATTTTCTCGAAACTTGGCAGACATCTCTCTAGGCTCATTTCAGTACGTTATGCGAAATTTCGTGCAAATCGAAGGATATATAGGGACTTTGGTCCACCATTTACATGAAATCGGACGAAACTATATATGGGAGCTATATCTAAATCTGGACCGATTTTCTCGAAACTTGGCAGACATCTCTCTAGGCTCATTTCAGTACGTTATGCCAAATTTCGTGCAAATCGAAGGGTATATAGGGACTTTGGTCCACCATTTACATGAAATCGGACGAAACTATATATGGGAGCTATATAGAAATCTGGACCGATTTTCTCGAAACTTGGCAGACATCACTCTAGGCTTAATTCATTACGTTATGCCAAATTTCGTGCAAATCGAAAGATATATTGGGACTTTGGGGCACCATTTACATGAAATCGGACGAAACTATATATGGGAGCTATATAGAAATCTGGACCGATTTCTCAAAACTTGGCAGACATCTCTCTAGGCTCATTTCAGTACGTTATGCCAAATTTCGTGCAAATCGAAGGATATATAGGGACTTTGGGGCACCATTTACATGAAATCGTACGAAACTATATATGGGAGCTATATCTAAATCTGGACCGATTTTCTCGAAACTTGGTAGACATCATTCCAGGCTCAATTCAGTACGTTATGCCAAATTTCGTGCAAATCGAAAGTTATATAGGGACTTTGAGGCACCATTTACATGAAATCGGACGAAACTATATATGGGAGCTATATCTAAATTTGGACCGATTTTCTCCAAACTTGGCAGACATCACTCTAGGCTTAATTCAGTACGTTATGCCAAATTTCGTGCAAATCGAAAGTTATATAGGGACTTTGAGGCACCATTTACATGAAATCGGACGAAACTATATATGGGAGCTATATCTAAATCTGGACCGATTTTCTCCAAACTTGGCAGACATCACTCTAGGCTTGATTCAGTACGTTATGCCAAATTTCGTGCAAATCAAAAGATATATACGGACTTTGGGGCACCATTTACATGAAATCGTACGAAACTATATATGGGAGCTAAATCTAAATCTGGACCGATTTTCTCCAAACTTGTTAGACATCATTCTAAGCTCAATTCAGTACGTTATGCCAAATTTCGCGCAAATCGAAAGATATATAGGGACTTTGGGGCACCTTTTACATGAAATCGGACGAAACTATATATGGGAGCTATATCTAAATCTGGACCGATTTCTCCAAACTTGGCAGACATCACTCTAGGCTTAATTCAGTACGTTATACCAAATTTCGTGCAAATCAAAAGATATATAGGAACTTTGGGGCACCATATACATGAAATCGGACGAAACTATATATGGGAGCTATATCTAAATCTGGACCGATTTTCACGAAACTTGGCAGACATCATTCTAGACCTAAATGATTAAGCTGTACCAAATTTCGT